TTTTCTGCTTGTTGTCTCCAAGGAAAATTCACGACTGACCTCTTACCTTCTTCCTTGCGACCCGCACTTCGTCCTCCATGGTCCTCGTTCCCGCCGTCAGGCACCGTTTCGCAATCATCGCCCACGATTTTGTACACCACGACAGCGAGGCGGTACCGCTCACCCCACCGCCTCACCGCGAAGATACGCTGTCCTTCAGTAGCTCCGGTCCCCCATGACTTCCGTCCTCGTCATCCACGGGGACCGTACGCTCTAGCCGCGCTTGTCCCACGGACACCGAGGCCGGTCCACAACTTCTCAGCGACTCCGTCGTGGCCCTGCATGGCTTCATCGAAAGCGTGGCCCACACGAATCTGGTCGGCCGTCGAAAAGAGCGGAGGAGGGTAACGGAACTCACCGTGCCCAAGACGGTGGCCGCCAGAACCACTCGTGACACAATACAGTATCCGATATCATGATAATTTCAATTCTAGAAAAATCCGACAAAATAGTACAAATACAATGCAAAAAGCAGCCAGACACACGCACAGTCTGCGTGTCTCATAGATCGTGCGTGTACTGGCTGCTCTCTGGCATTGCGCCAGAGGATCTGCGGCAGAGGCTATGCGTCTCCGACCTTTAGCCAATGAGCTGACTGCCCCTTGTAGCAAAGAGCAGTCAGCCCATTCAACAATTTTCTCTCTAGACGGCAAAGCCTTGGGCGCAGGCGCGACGTGCCTCGACCGTGATTCTGGACACGGCGACACCCGTGCACATTGAATACCCACCTACCGAGATCCACGCTACTCCTACGCTCTACCTCGGCATCCAGACTACCCCTACGCTCTACCCGTACACGCAGAGCTGTAAACTGGCTCGGTAGAGGCGAACTGGCTTGTGCGGAGCATGTTGAGGGGTAAAAACCCTGTACTGCTCTTGTGGATAGCCTAGTGCGTTGCTAGTGTTGATCATATGAAGAGTTATAGATGAGGTGAAGAAAAAGGAATTTAATATAAAAAAAAATGTATCATGAGCCTGCTGATACTTGTTTAATTTTCTGCCGCTTCCGCTTCAACGTCGGCTCGCTTTTCTCGGCGCCGCTGGCGCCAACGATATGTACGTATTTCGTTTGAAGGGAGATTAGCTGTCGGATCCCATGTCGAAAGAGGCAAGGAATTGGACACAGCCGTTAATTCGTCGATCGGCGAGGATGGTCCGCATCTGGAAGGTTGGTAGACCACTTAAGTCGGTTCCAGACGGTAAGACTCATTCCGCCTCACCAGCGTCGTCACCTAAAGCAGCTGCCTCAATGAGGCGGGCCTTGTTGATGCGTGCTTTTGGCACAGCATCGAGCAGACGCTTGATTGCCTCTGCTATATTTGAGGTATCACTTCGCTGAACATGAGCCCATTTCCTCAAGTAACGGGCCGCAGCCTCACCGAGGCGCCACCGCCCACGGGCGCGAAGGTGCGCTTGATACCACCTGAAGAAGACAGGAAATGATGTTGGTGGGGCTGCGTCCGTTGCGTGTTGGCTTGCCATCGTCGAGGTGAGTTGGAGAATGAAGCAATCCAAGATTTGTTTGAACTGAAGTTAAAATTAAAGGTGAACGTGGTGCTGTTATTAATTCGAAAAAAATTGACACGAAGCTATAGTTCCTTTGTTTAGCGCAGCGACTGTACTTACGGCTAACGGATTTCACTCCGTATTCAACGCATGTCGATTTGCCAGTGGGCAACCGGCAGGCACTCGGGCACTAGACGTATCCGATCGGCGGCGTCTTTTAGACACAGAACGATTAACTAGAGTCCTTTTACCATCCAGTCCAGTGTAGTTCTTAATTTGTAGAGCAAAAAGCACGTGAATGCAGATTGCAGACTTGAAGTAGTACTTGCATCCGCACGAATTATTACTCAAATTCACATGCCAGTCCCCCTCAGGCTGCCCAAATACCTCCATTCGCGCGTGATTCTCCCATCTGGGCTGAAACCGGGGCTACCTCGCGAGGTTGCCCGAGCTCCGGATGATAGATACGCTCACAACCACGTGACTTCACACGAATCACGTTTGGGTTTGGGGAAATATGTAGGGCGTCGATGCTGGACCGGCTGGGAGTCATGTCCACGAGAAGATCTCGGTGGCGAAATTCCTTAACCCTTGCGTTTAACCGCTGGGTGACTTCAGGGGATTCTTTAAAAATTATTAGAGTTACCGGCTGGTGACCGCAACAATCCGCCAGCAGCTGGAACAGTGTTCCGATCTTATGTTTGGTCCGGAAAGTGTAGTCACGCTTCATCAGACGGTTGAACTGCTTCACCGGGCTGCGTATCCACTGGGGGCATGGAAGCATTACCAACGCCAAAATGAACTTGTCACCCACGTACGTTTAAAATAGCCATGGAACCAAATCAGCTGCTCTTCATCCGACCACTTTGCTAGAACCTGTTTCACTTGTTCGTCATAGACATCTTGGCTATTAGCGAAATGGAGATCATAGATGTCCGCCATCACTTTCTTGGACAAGTGATCCGGTACGCCCTTGGGTTTTTCGTGAACGTTGGCCATCACATGAATAAAGCACATCAAGTAGTCAATTTCACAATCGACACCAAAGCCTCGTGTCACAGCGTTCTGTTGGGCAGCTTCCGCATCGGCCATGACGAGCCTGACCAACAGTTGGCGCCCCCCAGACACGGAAGTGAAAATTCCGAGGAGCTCGGTCAGCGTTGTCACGTAAAAGTCCTCCAAGCGTTGGGATGTAATGAAAAATGTCACAAGGTGAAACGAGCGACACTTGTCAGAGATGTCACACACAACAGCAGGATATGCGACTTGGTTCAACTTGAACGTGGCGTCCATGTGAAACACAAATGACTCTGGTTCGCGGGGGTCATATCGTGACTCCAAATGGGATATTACCGAACCCTGAGAAGGCGAAGATGATGAACATCGACTTGCACACGGTTAGAGCATTCCTGGAGCTGACAAACTTCTTTCGACGCTACATACCAAGCTTCACTTCGATTTCTGCTCCGCTGGAACGATTGAAGCAGAAGGACGTCGATTTCCGATGGAACGACGACTGCGAGGGCGCGTTCTGACAACTACAACGAGAACTAGTGAAACCACCAATACTGGTGTATCCGGACTTCAAGAAGATGTTTAAGCTCTACGTAGATTCATCACACTTAGCAGTGGGGTCCTGCCTGATGCAAGAAGTCGATAAGAGAGACAGGGCGATCGTGTACGAGAGCAAGATGTTGGTTGGATCGCAGAGAAACCGTATTAGCGATACATGTGGAACGACAGAAATTGAGTGCTGGGGAATTGTAAGGTCGAAACGCAAATTCCGGTGTTATCTGAGTCACGCGGAGTTTGATCTGTACACGGACCATCAAGCTCTCACGTGGATCTTAGGCGAGACTACGAGAACGTCGAACGTCAAGTTAGCACGATGGACCATGGAGCTGTCACAGCTGCGGTTGAAGATATATCACAAGCCAGGGACGTCGATGGGTCACGCTGATGGTTTGTCGAGACTGTATCACAGACCGGATGCTGGTACTGCTAGTGCCATCCGGATAGCTGACCTTCTTAACGACAGTAAGGACGAGACGACCCCTGTCTTACAAGCGCCGACCTCAGACGAAGTGCCGACACCAGATGGAACGCCAGTCTCTAACGGAACGGCCGGGCAATCGGGGTACTGTCGCGGCCTTCCTCTAGTCGGGGT